TATATATTTTCTGATGTGATTTAAAATTTATAGAAAGGCTTAAATAAATTATTTCTGAGTAATAATGAGTAATGGAATAATTTTAACCAGTTTTAAAATACTTTAAAAAGGAATAAAATACATTTCCTATTTTTCTTAAGTAACTTGGAAAATACAACTGAGCTGTTGTAAATATATCAATGTTTAAGTAAACTGTTCTTTTTCTTAAATATAATATGCATAAATGATTGCTTTATAATAAAGAAAAAATGTTTTCTGTCTAGAAAAAGTAAATCATTTAATTTTTCTTAGGGGTAGGTGAAATTTTATTGTTAAGATGAAATCTAAAATTTCCAGTGCAATCCAATTGGAAAAAAAAATCTGCTTATTTATTTATAGGTAAATTCCAATGTGCTCACCTTCATGTTCTCTAACCATTACGTTTAAAATCATAAAATAACCTAGGATTATAAACGGATTACATATTGAATATGACTACATATGCTTAAAATTATTTTGTAAAGAAGATATATTTATGAGTGAGTGTATGTATATATACATACACGCACACATTTCTTTCCTGCAGAATATTAAATAAGATAAGAATCTTCTAAGAAGCATATATTGTTAATATGTGAATAGCATCTTTAAAACATCTAATAAAATCCCTCCATTTGGAAGATGGTTATTAAAAATTTTCATGCACACAGAGATAGAATATTTTTCCTGCAAGACAATAAAATAGTAGCAAAGTAGTAGCAAAGTGAAATAAAATAACTGGAAAAGCAGACTAATACAAATAATGGATTCATGTTCCCAAGGTTTAAGATATAAACATGCCTTACATGTCTGCTCTTTGCTTATTAAGAAAGAAGCAAAGATTTGTATCTTCTCTCAAAATGGAATAAGCATTTGTGAAATTTCTAGAGCCTCAGCAACAATATTTAGCATTTCAGCATCTTTGTTAGATTTAACCCATGACCAAAAACAACTAGTGCGTATGTTTATATACATCAAAATAAGGCATCCATTTGAAAAAGTTAACATTATATTTTCTTCCTAATTCCAAAAGTACCCCAGAACTTATGTTTATGTAGTTGTGAATTGCACCATAGATGCTTTAGGGAAATCATGGTAAAGTAAATGCAATAAACACATTAGGGTTGAAAACCATGTTCAAAATGTTAAAAATGGACGTATTAGAAAATTTCAGCAAATAAAACCATATACAGGTAGTCCTCGACTTACAACTGTTCATTTATTCACCGTTCAAAGTTACAACATTGAAAAAAGTGACGTGACTATTTTTCACACTTATGACCGTTGCAGTACCCCCATGGTCATGTGATCAAAATTGAGATGCTTGGGGACTTCCGCCGGCACCACTGACATTGCTGGACGCTCTTTCTTGGAGCGCCAGCCCTGTGATCTTGTTAGCCGTTCTGACAGCGTAAATCAGCTGTCTGACGGCTGGAAAATCTTTCCCTCAGGAGAAGAGGGAAAGGAGAGCAATCGGATGGGGGTAGAGCTCCCCGAAAGCCCCTGAAATAGCTTTGGGGGCTAGGAGGGTGAGAGCTCCCCAGGAAATCTGGTGAAACTCCGAGATCCAGGGCGCTTCTGCTTTAAGCAGAAAAAAACGTCGCGACCATCTCTGCGATCTTTATTGAGATCTAAGTAAGTAAGTAAGCTTTTATTGCGGTCAGAGACCAAATTAAAATAGACAAAGGGAGCATATTTTACAAATATGGATCTAAGTTGTTTATCCACGCAGGTGGAGTGAAGACAGGAGAGCAGAGAATCGCAAGTAACAAGCCCTTAATTCCATGCTTAAATTGTTACTTTGAAGTTGATTGAAGCAAGAAAGAAGATGGCGCTTAATAGAGTGTGAAAGTGAAACTTAACTCTCTTTGAAGCTGTTAACATCCAGCATTGTTCAAGGCGGTTGGAGAAAAAGAAAAGAGAAATGGCTGGCTTTGTTGAAAATCTTGAAGATTCACTATTACAAACATCACTAAAGACACAAATACTGATTGGGGACCTTTTTAAAGAAATATTAGAATCATTTACCTCTGTGATAGTGGAGAGAATTGAAGGACTTTTTAAAAAGGATTTTATTCAAGTTCGAAACAAAGAGACAAGCGAAGGCATTATATCGGAATTGCAGATGCCAAATAACAGCGAATTGCAGAATGAAGAGGTGAAGGAAATTCAGTTCAATATACCTCCGGGAAATGGAATGGATGTTTTTCAAACTAAGAAGGAAAGGTTGAGGGGCTTGAAGGAGCGTAATCAGGAAATACTGTCTGAGATTTCCCCAAAGGCTTTGTTACAGTCAATTGGAAAAGGAGATGTTGGGATTCTTAATATAAGAAAGAAGATTCGAAGTGGAACTTTACAATTTTTATACAAAAATGGATTCTTAATTGCGGTTAAGGAGATGTGTTCACTGAAAGGAACTATTTTGCGAAGAGAACAAGATGAAGGTGGAGGAATAAGACTGAAAAAGAAAGTGCGCAAAAAAGTTAGGAAAAAATGGAGATGGAAAAATTACAAACTTTTTGTTGGGGGAGGAGAGTAACAGAAATGAATGATTATATCTGCATTTAGGGATATGATTTGTTTTGAAAAGTTATACTATACTGAAAATGATTTACTTATATTTAGGGATATGATTTGTCTAGAAAAGTTACATTAAATAATGTTATGTTTATATTGTTATGAATTACTGACCAAACTTTTATCATTGTCTTGAAGTATATTAATACTAAAGTTATATGTCAAGGAATGTTTTGTTGAAGAATCTATATAGGTTTATGGGTTAAAAATGGTGCAAGGGTTGAGGGAAGGTTTTTATAATACTTTTTAAAGACTCAAATAGTGAAGATGTTATTTGATTATACGTAATGGATTTGTAGAGAACAAGATGAATAAGTTTGTACAAAGTTATTAAGCAAGGAATGTTTCCAGGCAGAATTAATATAAGCTTGTGGGGCAAAAAGTAAAAATAAGGTTTTTTACAATATATTTTATTCGAGATTGGTTAAAATATCTTGCCAATGTGTTAATATATGAAAGGGTTGGAGATGCCATGGTTAATTGTATCTGGGTTTTGATTGTGTAATGTTGGAAGAAAGAAGACTCGCTTATTATTGAAGAACTGATAAGATGCTATATCCTGTATTTGCTCTGGGAAGTCTGGGGGGGGGGGGGGGTGGGGGGGGGGGGGGGGGGGGGGAAGGGAAAACATGAGTAAAGAATTTGGGGGGTTTCTTGGATTTTACGTAACTTTTTTTTTTTTTTTTAAAAGAAGTTGTTAATTTGTAAATGTGATTGTACAATCCATATATGGAAAGATGGCAAACGGTCTACTTTTTTTTTTGTAAAAAAGTTTTTTGTCTTGTAAAACTCTTTAATAAAAAAAAAAAATTGAGATGCTTGGCAACTGGTTCATACTTATGATCATTCCTGTGTCCCAAGGTCATGTAATTACCTTTTGCAACTCTTTGACAAGCAAAGTCAATGGGGAAGCCAGATTCACTTGTATTTTTCGGCGTATAAGATGCACCTATCTTTTTTGGTGAGGAAAACAAGAAAAAGAAATCTGCCTCTGCCTCCCAGCAATTTTGCCTCGTTGCAGCAAACAGCAAATAGCCTGCTTTACTTTCATTTTTGTTTTCAGCATAGCTTGATTAGCACAAGAAAAAAAAATCTGCTCCCAGCAATTTACTTCCTTGCACCAAGCAGCAGAGGCCTGCGCAAAACAGCTGAGAGCAAAACAGCTGAGAGTCGGGAGGCCATCCAATCAACTCGTGCTAATTAGGCTGTGCTGAAACTGAGATGCTGTTTCTTCTTGCTGCTTGCTGCAAGGAGGTAAACTGCTGGGAGGCAGAGGCCAAAGGGTGGGGGCCAGTGGGTGGGCGGGGCTACATATGATGTATAAGACGCACGTAAATTTTCACCCCTTTTAGGGGGAAAAAAGGTGCGTCTTATACTCTGAAAAATACGGTAACCAAGTTACTAACTTATCAAGAGCAGTGATTCACTTAACTGTGGCAAGAAAGATTGTAAAATGAGACAAAACTCACTTAACAAATGTCTCACTTAACAACAGAAATTTTGGGCTCAATTGTGATCGTAAGTTTTTTTAAAAAAAATTTAAAATTTTAATTTTTTTAAAAAAAATTGATTTATATGCCGCCCTTCTCTGGAGACTCAGGGCGGCTTACAATGCGTTAAGCAAGTTGAGGACTACCTGTATTTTCATCCATCTAGGAAACAGCCCATGCCCATGTACTTTTTGTGGAAAATCCAAATCATATGAATACTCCCCATGTTACTAGACCCTGTCATGAAAAGCTGTCTTTAATTATAAAATATCACCTATTTGTCATTGCAATTAAATCTTGAGGCAACATTTAGCAAAATTAAAAAATATTTTCAAGCATGACAGAAGAAAATAGCATTTTAAAACATCAACATTTAACCAATAGTAAGAAATAAAGGCCCCTTGGTGGCTAATTAGCAGCATCTATACAAGCAAAGACTCATTTAAGAACTGGTGTGTGAAAAGGATTTTAAATTACAGTACAAATAAAACAGTGGTAACCTGAAACAGCTGCATGAGTCTGTAAGGCAGAAACATGAGAAGAAACCCTAGAAAGTACTATAAATTAATATTAACTAAAAGGAAGACAGACAAACTATAGGACCCAGTGATTAAAGAGATCATGAACATTTGATAGAAAAAAAAGATATATTTCATTTCCTACTTTGCTTATCTACCACAATGATCTGAGACTAACATTGGCAAAATGCAAGACAATAAAGAAATATTACTACTGTATAAAGAGTAATTTCTTTGGCAGAATTCTGATGAGCCATCCAAAATTCTTCATTTCTTCAGCATACAATATATTGCAATACATAAAAGTTCAATATCTCGCATATCTGATCGCAAAACAATTGGAAGAGGTGGAAGTTTTCCCCAGTCCCCATGAAAATGATAAAAACAACCTCAGAAGTAGTGCCATTATGTTTAGTATGTGTGTTTAGCAACCTTAGCATTTGATTATACAGCATTCTTCAAGATTGTAATCTACAAAGATGCCAAACTTGGAAGGCAGAGCCACTAGAAACAGTTGAAGACACTGGGACACATTCCATTCAATTTGTACTCAATGCTGCTTTTGTCTATAGTGGCCCAAGTATAACAGACCTGCTGTTAATTTTTAGCCACAAAAATGATCTACAGTAGTGGCCAAAATTGTGGAAACCTTTGAGGAAAAGTGTATTTTTTAAAACTAGCTAATAACACCACGTACTATAAAATTATATATCAATGGAAAGATAATTTAATCATGAATGTAATGCAATAATTTTCATGAAGGATTTGCTATTACTGTAGAATAGCAGTTATAAAGAAGAAAAGTGAAACACATAGAAAAAATGAGATACACAAAAATTATCACCATAGAAAAAACGAGATACACTGTATACAAAAATTATCACTATGTCAGTTAATACTTAGTTAGGTAACCTTTAGCATTAATTATGGCCTTACAACATCTTCCCATGGAGTGAACCAAGTCTTTTAGTTCTGCAGCTGTTATAATGTGAAACCAAGATTGAATGATTGCTTCTCTTAACTGGGTTTTATTGCTGGGTTCCTTCTGACTAACAAATTTCTTCAGTCGGCTCCATAGATTTTCATTTGGGTTAAGGTCTGGGCTATTCCCAGGCCATTCCAGCAGTGGAATGATTATCCCGAAACTCCAAAAAAAGTGGTGTTATTAGCCATCAAATCTCAAAATGCATTTTCCCCAAAAGGTATCCACACTTTTGGCCACTATTGTAACATTATTATTGGAGAATGCACTATTTCAGTTTAAACATTACATTTCTGCCCTCTCCATTTTCTGATCAGCACTGTGCAATAAATAGTATTGCTGCTTAAGCAACAAAGAAAAACCAGTTACAATTAACATCAGATGAACCAAAGTTAAACTATTTAGCCATAGTTTCTGAGGTTCACAAAAAGACACTCATCATGACAATATGCAGACCTTTTTTGCTTCCATAAATAGCAAACCACATATGTGATTATAAGATGCCATTTATACCATTAAATGCTTTAACAATTCCCAAGATTTCTAATAATGTGTCCATGGGAAAATCCAAGCAAGGAAATACACATTCACAGAATTACATTCAATAGCTGTTTAACAGTCAAGCTGTTTTAGAAATGTCCAATCATACTGATTAACATTTTAATCAGATTTAATTGTCAAATCAATTAGTCTAAAGAGAAGGAAACAGTACGTAAGTGTATTGTTAGGAAAAATATACAAAACATATAAAACACTGGATGGCACAAATTACAGTGCTAATATAAACATATTTTAAGGTAAGTGCTTAACATAAACTGTCCATCCTTACATGTATCAAATAATTATTTTAAAGGGAGGAAAAAGATTCCCTATAAAAATAATGCTATATGGTGCAGAGTGCTTTTTTCAGTGTATCTATTGTAACAAGAGGTGTTCATAATTATTTCCATTAATTGTTTTTTTCCCCCTCCTGATTCCACTTTTTTCTCCACTTGAAGGAAAATGTTTTGTCTTTAACAGTTTTCAAAAGATGAAAGTAGGAGCAGCAGCATAACAGTACCAGCTGGAAGAGTGTGCTTTCAGGTAATTGGGGTATGTGCTATGTGTTGCCATAATTTGTGCTATCAACTCATTGTGGTACCATATTTTTTTTACATGAGGTCATTTCACAGAGCAGTTGAGGTAATTTTTTTTACTCCTCTTCTTTGAGCAAGCGTAGAGCGACCAACTGGCTCCAAAACTGGGGACTGATTGCGATTCAATGCTGAGTATGTAGCTGCCATGGCACCCTAGGAATAAAAAGATTTATTTAGTTATATTAGATAAATACTCCAAAGCCAAAACAAACTATATTAAAATGTCCAAACCTCCATGGCATGCTGGTGTAGCCAAGCTTTAATGGCTTTCCTTTTAAGCCAATAGGGTTGGATTGACTTGCTTGACAAAAACAAACAGTTACTGATTTTGTTCCTTAATGATGAAAGATTTATTATAGGGCAAATGCCTTCCATGGATCATTGACTAAGAAAATCTTAAATGTACAAATTTCAAAGCATTGCTAGAAATGGAAATGGTAGCAATACAGGTAGTTCTTGTTTAACAATGGTAATTGGGACTGGAATTGCAGTGGCTAAGCAATACCATCATGATGTCACATGATTATGCTGCTTACTGATGGCAATTCTAGCAATCCCCAGTTACTGTTAAGTGAGGGCAGTGCGGGCTTTGAAGTGAGAACCTAACATGATCGTAATTTCCTGCTCCCTGTCAGCTTCCCTATTGACTTTGCTTGTGGGGAACCAGTGCTGCAGGTTACGAATTGCAATCAAGTGACCATGGGACACCATGATGTTCAGAGATACAGGCTGGTTGCTGAGTGCTCAGATCACAATCACATAGTCAAGGGGTGCTGCAAAGGTCAGAATTTCGAGGACCAATTGTAAGTGCAACTCATTCAACACTGTTGCTAGTTCAAATAGTCACTGAACAAATGGTTGTTAAATGAAGACCTCCTGTAATGGAAAAAATAAGGGGGCAAACTGCAGATTAAAATATAGCAAACAGAATGTTTATTCATTTTAACTATTTTTATAGCTCACTCCAATCACAAAGGATTATACAAAAGAAATGTTTGCAAATTGCAAATGAATTCCCTAATTGGTGCTATCATGTAGTTATTCACTGAGACCAAAAACTTACTGAAATAAAGCAGTTTTGTTTCCAGAAAACTAACACAACAGGGTCTGTCTTCCTCTGGAGAAAAGTTCCACAGAATGGGGTCACTGCAGAGAAGCCTGCCATCTTATCCACTTCCATGTACATTCTTAGCAGGCATTCTCTAGATGACCAGAACGGCTTATCAGTTCTGATAAAATGTTGTCTGATATATGTCATTGGTGTGGCATAAAGGCCTACTCTAAGGAATAGTAAGCTTAGAGATTTGTTTTTTTTTTTACCTTCACAAGATGTGGAGCATCTTGCCTGTTGAGTTGGTACTGAGGCAGCTGATCGCAATGAACTATCCATGGGTGCCTTAGAACTTGAGCAGCAGTCAATCTCTGATGAGGGTCAACATGGAGCATTTTCGAAACTAAGTCCTGTAAACAATTAGTTAAATTGCACAAGTTTTATAAAATAATAAAATAATGGATTTGATTCAGATATATTAAACAACTTTTCAGCTTTAGAAAGGACTCCTCAGTCCTTAGATGAAGGGATTTTTTGTAATCGTAGTATGAGAGAATTTTGTAATGTATTTATATTTGCAAGGGGAGATAAGGGATATAAAAAAGGAAACAGGAAATAAAAGAACCAAATACTGAGCATGGGAATTAAAAATGGCCAATTTTGTGGCATTCCTTCCCCTACACATACAAAAAACTAAAAGCAAATTACTTCAATCACTAATATCAGGAGAAGACTTTATAAACTGTTGAGTTTTATTCCTAATAAATAGCCTAATTATTTCATTATACTGTAGAGCCAGTTTGGTGTAGTGACTAAAGCACTGATATATCTATCTACAGACCCATCACATATCTACCAAAATGTAGGTATCTAAAGTATCTACTGATCCCTCACATCCTGGACATAAACTGTTTCAACTTCTCCCCTCAGAACGCCTCTATAGACTACTGCAAGCAAAAACAACTAGACGTAAATATAGTTTTTCCCCCCATGCCATCACTCTGCTGAACACCTAATTCCCACAGCACTGTTTTAGGCTTAACAATATTTATCCATGTAGTAGGCTGTAATTGCTATTATCCTTCTCATTTTCTCATCTTTCTCATCTTCTCATTTCTCATCTTTCCTACTACCTTCTCCTATTGGTATCTTACGATTTATCACTTATTGTATTTTAGGATTAATGATTGTAACTATGATTTTTTTAATCTATGACCTATCACTTTATTTGTATGGACACTGAGAACTTAGGCACTGGAGACAAATTCCTTGTGTGTCCAATCCCACTTGGCCAATAAAGAATTCTATATAGAAACTCCGAGACTATGAGTTCTAGTCCTGCCTTGCACAAAAATCAGCAGCTAACTCTCAGCTCTAGGAAGAAAACAATGGCAAACCACTTCCAAAATCTTTCCATGGACTAGTTGCCAGGCAATCAACAATGACTTGAAAGCAGAGGTGGGGCTAGCTGTCAGCCCGAAAGAGTGTGTGAACGGGTGCTCCGTGAAGCACAACTGATTTCCAGCCATCCTGCGGGCTTCTCAAAGCCGGAGTTGCCCTGGAGGGGTGACTTGGGAGGAAGGTGACCAATCGATCAAGTTCAGGTGGTGGCCCATGTCGGAAAGCGGTGGAATCTTCAATGAGAGCAGACGGGGAAGAAGACGGCCTGTAATGGCCGAACCGCAGGGCTGACAGCCAGACGAGGAAAGCAGTGGTGAAGTGGAACGTTGGTGGACTGGAACTGGCTGAAATCAATTCCGACTTCCAAAGAGTGAGTGGAATGGCAGAGAGAAGAAGCTGAGCGAAACCCCTAGCTGATTGAGGAAAAGAAGGGGCTCTTATTAGAAGGAGGGGGGGGATGTTCGCCCCCCCCCCATGATAGCAGTGGCGAAGGAGATTGTGGAGCTTTTTTCTAAGACTCACAAGGATAGAAGACAGAAGGAGAGGGATAGCGGTTGCTAATTAGAGTGGATCTGGATTGGGAGATTTTCGTGGGACTGTACAGGAAAAGTTGGATAATTTGAAAGTTGGAGAAGATTTGACAAACATGGGAGATAAAATGGCTGTGCTACTCTCCCCTGGATTCTGATAAGGCACTTTTTGTTTTGGAACTGAAACAAGGCTTAAGGGAGACATCTACTGGACAAAAGAAGATATACACCTGTAAATTGGGCAGATTGAATAGAGAAAGTTCGTCTGAGTGACACTAAGTTAGGTTTGCTGTATTGTGGATATCTTGGAGCCTGATGATGTGACATCTTATAATCTTGTAGTAGTGGTGAATAGGGGTTATATACAACAGCAAGAGATATACTTGAGGTTCTAGTGCATAAAGATACATGATGAAATTAAAAAAAAAGACCTCTGGTGAAGATTTAAACCCAACAGAAGGGCAAGGTTGAAAAGTAGCTGAAATGAATTGAACTATAATAGATTGCTAGCTTGCTGGAAATCACTGGAACCTTGGGTGTTACTATCAATATCACTGTTATCACCATCACTATTATTATATTATTGTGATTATTGTAACTATTATAAGTATTATTATCATTTATATGAAGATTGTATTTATTAATATTAATGCTACCGTTCTCACCTGTATTAGTATCATTAGCTTCACTGCTAGCATAATTAATTAATTACAGGTAGGCTAATAGAATTAGAATAAGTTTGATATTTTGGTATCTACCGTGTTTCCCTGAAAATAAGACAGGGTCTTATTTTCTTTTGGGCTTCAAAATAAGCACTTGGGCTTATTTTCGGGGAGATCTTACTTTTTTAAAGTGCTACTGCTCCATCATGCTGTCTGCTCCCCAGAAGCACCAATGGGAAGGAAAGAGATTGGGGGGTGGGGGAGAGAAGAGAAAGAAGCGATCCCAGAAGCACCAGTGGAAAGGAAAGAGACTTGGGGGGGGGGAGAAGGGAAAGAAGCGATCCCAGAAGCACCAATGGAAAGGAAAGAGATGGGGGGGGGGGGAAGAATAGGCATGCAGGCTGGCGCTCAGCAGCCCAAAGGCTGCGGCAGGTGAGGCGACACAGGCAACCGCTCCCAAAGGGGCCCTGGCAGGCTGGTGGCACTCAGAACGTTTTCAGAGGTTTTCAATCTGGGATGATTCAAGCTGGCCAGGCAGGAGCAGCCCCGCAGTGCTGCCGAGTGCAGCGCTGCCAAGAGGGAGAAGAGGCCAGAAGCAGCATGGGCAGCCGCTTGGCCATTTAAAGACTTGTGGATTTCAACTCAGAACTTCCCACAGGCCCCCCCCCCATCAACTCCTTCCCCTTTCTGAGTTGCAGTAGCTCGCACCCACCGGGTCTGTTGGGGTTGGAAATTTGATTGCACCCCACGAGGGAGCCTCCATCAGCTGAGCCAGCACAGGCCGGGAATTGCCTCTCATTCTGTCTCTCTGCAGAGGCCTTCCAGTGCAATGCTCTGCCACAGCTTCGGAGCAAACCTCCGCCTTCCCTGTGGAGGATTGCATGGCTGGAGGCTTTGCCTTGCTCCGATCAGCAGGAAACACACACACACACCCATTTCCCTGATGATCGTTCTATCCTTGGGGAGCTCTGCACAGACACACATCCCAAAAAAGTTCCCTCTGAAGCCTTCAGCCTTGCAATCCTGCGCAGGGAAGGTGGAGGTTTGCCCTGAAGCTGTAGCAGAGCATTACACTGGGAGGCCTCCGCAGAGAAACAGAATGAGAGGCAGCTCCCAGCCCGTGCTGGCTCAGCTGATCCGCGGGCTGCAATTAAGGTGCCAAGCTTCCATAAGGTAACCAAGGAAGGGAAGGGCTGCCTCCTGTGCTGCCCGCATCTACCCCTTCACTAGGGCTTATTTTCAGGGGAGGGCATATATTTACGCCCACCCCAAAAATCAGGCTTGGCCTTATTTTCAGGACATGTCATATTTTCGGGGAAATGGTAGTGGTTAACATTGATAGCCTAAACCACCCTCAGAGCAGTGGAGGGTTATACTGGTGTGAAAAGGAGGTGGGAGTGTTGGATAAAGTCTAATTTTGTGGAAAAATTCTTAAAGATGACAAGCACTATGAACTAAGGTAGGGATAGGGAGGAGACTAGCTGCCCAGACTGCATCGGCTACATTGAGTCCGTCAACACAGAGATCAATAAAAGATATGATTCAAAGGGAGAGGTCCAACTCTTTTAAACATCTGCAGGCTATGCTGTAATCAGTGCAGGAAATGATGACAAAGAACCACGATGAAATGAAAAAAGAGATAGGAGGGGTAAAAAATGATATGGGAGAATTTAAAGAAAAAATGCAAAAGATGGATGATAAATTTGAATTTTTTCAGCAATAGATTACCAAAAATGAACAGAAACTGTAGATGGAAGAAAGGATGGAAAGGGAAGAAAAAAGAGTGGACAAAATTAGTGAAAAATTATTCCAGGCAAATAAGGAATTAGAATCTACAGTTATTTTTCTGGAATCAAAAAAAGCGGCGCACTACATACGTTTTCAGAATATAAGAGAGTAGAAAGAAGAAGACCTTCCAGATATTATGGCAGAAATAATAGCGAAAGCATTAGGAACAGAAAAAGAGATGTCGACGGAAATAGACGAGACCTGTAGAATCCACACGAATTACGCGAGAAAACACAATCTTCCAAAGGAAGTACATGTCAGATTGGTGAAGAAATCGAACCGGGACGAAGTGCTTCACAGGACAAGAGATGAACCAATAGAATACAAAGGGAAACTATTGACAGTCCTTAAGCAGGTCCCAAGAAGAGTTAGAGAATTGCGAAGACCATACCAATTCCTAACATCATTGCTGACTAAATACAACATCAATTTTCGATGGCTGACACCGGAAGGTATCCTAGTGAGAAAAGAGATACAGAGTGGATACTTTGGACAAAGCAGAGGAATTCTATAACCAATATTTTGGTAATGAGGAAGGAACAGAAGAGAGGGAAGTAATAGTAGAAAAAGACCAAAGAATACCAGCCGTGGAAAAAAGCGAAGTACAATTGAAAAAGTGGGAGAAAGAAAAAGGAGAAAGACAGGAAAGTAAGGGGGAAAGACCTAAGGAACTAAGAGAGATCAGAACAAGAAGAACTATTAAGACCTAAGTAGAGGAATGCAAGAAGAGTTGAAGATTTTATCACTGAAAATTAATGGACTAAATGCTCCCACGAAAAGGAAAAAGGCTTTCAATAAATTAGATAGATATGATTTGGATATAATAGCACTACAAGAAGTCCACATGAAAGAACAACACAGTTACTGGAATACCCCAAATTGGTGAAAATATATGTATCACTGTCACAACAAAAGAAGAGAGGGGTAGTATTATAGATTAAGGAGATAATTTCGGTTAAACAAATTTATAAAGATGAAGAGGGAAGGATTTTGATTGTAGAGGTAATATTAAATCAGAAACGGGTTTTA